GAGATGTAACATTTAAGGTATTGCCATAAAAAAATAGACAGTGTTTCGATTTAGTTAAAACATACGTCGAGTCCTTTAGACCGTGATTAGCGCCCGGTGCGCATTTTTCACAAATTGTTGTTATTGAAATATTAAAATGCGTAGGCTTGCGAAATGTACTCTTACTAATAGAAAATAGATCAATGAACGTAAAAGTACAGTTTTTTTTGCGTCTAATGTTCAGTTTCCCGGCAACTTTAAACCATTCGTTAGTTCGATAACTTTATTAAATACATTTCCGAACAATATAGAATTAGTTTAATTTAATTTAGACTTAGGGCCTGTCCCACCAATTCGTAAATCTATACTATTAAAATAAAGCGTAAACACACACTTCTTTGTTGCCAAAGATCTCAACAATTACAGCATATTTTTGAATAGTTCTTTTTTTTTAATAAAAAGTCCTACACTTACGTCAGGCTTTAGGCTATATATTTTCACGCCATTAAACTTAGAGGGTAAATATTTTGATAAAAACCCTAATGTGGGAAAGAGACCATACGATACGAGTTGCCAACATCAAGAAGCAGGATTGCCATAATAAGGTCATTGGTATTTTGACATTTGCAATTGAGAATTTGATAAATGTAAATAATAAAATGATTTTTTTATAATTTTATGCGGATGAAGTCGCATGGGAACAGCTAGTTGTCTGATAAATGCATTGTGTAAAATATGTGATGGACATGTTGGATTTTGTTCTCTTATTTGACAGTGACGTCATCTTAAAGCCATCTGAGCCTCTATCAGCCAGTGATGGGACATGCCTTTAGTGTAGTTATAACAGAAATAAGTTGCTAACGATTGAAACCAATTAACAAGATATATTTCACCTTAATGATCCTTCATAAACAAAGGAATTCACAAGATAATGTTGAATCTTAAATTTAATTGTATCTTGGAATTACGAAAGCGATTTTAATAGGCAATTTATGAAATGAAAACAGTACTAAGTAAAGTAGGAAATCGTTTCATTAAAAAGAAAACATGTCTTTCCTGTGTTTTTAACAATTTTTTTTATAAATACCATTAATACATTTTTAATGTGTGATGTTTTTAACTTTAGCTTATTTCTGTAGATACAGTAGCCGTGTTTTTTGACGTTGTACTTTTAATGAAAAAATCTTTTGTAGAGTCATGTCAAATATACAAGTTACTAACCTTTTTTTAATATATTTTTATACTTTTATTTTATATTTCTAATAGAAGAAATGTAATTATAAAAAAAAAATAATTAAAACCGATGCAAGGGAAAATTATATTAATTATCTTGTTTATGATATCAGAATAATTGTTTTTGAAATGGGTATATTAGTAGCCTCAGTGGTAGAGAAGGTAAGGAGTAAATTGTTAGCATGGGGGCATGTTATGAGGGATAATTCGCATGTTACAAGGAGAACGTTAGTCATGAGTGTGGAGGTGCAACGGTAGAGTTAGACCTAGAAAGAGATGGATGGATTGCGTGAAAAGTGACATGATCGAAAAGGATGTGATGCCTGAGATGACATATGATAGAGTTATTTGGAGGACAAAAACCTGTTTTGCCGACCGTACGGGAATAGGGTAAGGAGGACGATGACGACATTGTCAGAATAATTGTTTTTCTTTGAATAAATTTTAAATAAATCTCGTTTTCATTACATTTTTAACTCTCTATAGATAAAAAATGTATACTTTTACGCAATTTTATCTACAGGATGATGTCGTTTTATAGTTACAACACTATCGTTGTTTATTGCTCACATTTCAGGATTTGTTGAATTTATTAACGAGCGTATGTTTTAAATCTCTTCATGTTTGTATAAAATTTGCACACATTTTTTTCACAACTAACACTCGAGTTTACGTATAGAGCACGTTTTGGATTAAATTTGCATTCGGATCAATATACGAGTATTGTAAAATATCGTAATATTTGTTTGAAAACAATTGAATAATTTTCGATGAAAAATATGTTTATGGAATTGTGAAAAAAATAAGTAGCCAGCACTTTTTTATACTGTAATCTATCTATGTTCAATCCAGACTTTTGTCCGGGTTAGTCCACCAATTCAACATTTATGTTACAACTAGGTTTCGAAGGCGACTCCGGCAGCGTATAAAAAAACAAAAGCAAGTAGCCTATCTGTTCTTTTAGACTACGCTCTATATCTATGCCCGTGGAGATCCGTTCTGCCGCATAATCGGTAAACTCTAACAATCAACCGGTGTATTTGATTTAATTCATGTAGTAATTAAAAGTTTTCAAATCACAGTTTCTTTGATGCGCTAAAAAAATACACACTTAACCTACAAAGGATTATATTCATGTTTTAGTTTTAAAAAGATATTACTTTACTTGTAATAACAAATATTAGTAAGATTGAACAAAATGCAATAATGGTCGCATTGATGTTTATCTTACTAATATTATAAATGCGAAAGTTTAGATGGATGGATGTTAGAGTTTGTAGCCGGCTAAACGGTTGAACACATCTAAAAAATTTGGTATAGATGTAGAGGATAGTCTGGAAGAACCCATAGGCTGCTCACTTTTGTTTATTTTTAATTCTACGCGAACGAAGTCGCGGGTGAAGGCTAGTTTATCTTATCTGTTTTGAGCATTCAACAGTTTTAGAAACTATGAAATAAAGAGGCTTGTCGGCGCCGCAGTTTCTACTAAACGCAATTCAAAGCAAATATAACAACAGAAATACCCATGTATGGTATATATGTATACTAAGATGGAATTCAGCCAAATTTGTAAATTCGTTTATTGTTGATTGGATTATCGACCTTGTATACCCTTGTTTCTATTCACAGTATATGTACGAGTACACTCGTTTGTTAAAATAGCCTATATTTCAAGGATAATGTAGCTTTGTAATGATGAAAAAATTGGTCGATTAGTTTTTAAGTTTATTCTTTGTAAATGTAATCTATACTAATATAAAGAGGAAAGATTAATATTTTTGTATGTATTGAAATAACTCAAAAACTACTCGAGCGATTTCAAAAATTCTTTCATCATTAGAGAGGAAATTTATCTGTGAGTAACACGGCCTATGTTTTATTATTACTATTGTTGAGGAACTATTAATAAACAACATATTTCTGGACCACGGCGTTAAAAATAACAATGTTTTAACTTTTCCCGGCTTGCGCTGCCTAAACCGTAAGAGGTATATAAAAATGATGTATGAAATAATTGTAGAACTCAAAACGTTCTACAAAAATCAATATCGCACGCTATTTGCTCCGTTCTTATTGAAATTTATCAGGAGGAGTGAAGCACATACTATGCCGACTCTCTATAGAGACAATAACAAGGTGATGGCTAAACTTTGTTATTACAAGTAAAATAATATCTTTTTAAAAATAAAACATGGAGATAATACTTTGTAGTTTAGGTGTGTATTTTTAGCGCATCAAAGAAACTGAGATTTCAAAACTTAATTACTACATGAATTAAAACAAATACACCGGTAGAGGTAGACCTAGAAAGAGATGGATGGATTGCGTTAAAGGTGACATGATCAAGATGAGAGTGATGACTGATATGACGGATGATAGAGTTATTTAGAGGACGAAAACGCGGTGCCCCAACACTACAGAAGTAGGATAAGGCAGGGGAGATGAATTAAATCAAATCTGTTATTATAAAGTTTAGATTTGATTGTATAATCCATTAAACATTCTCATACGATTCTGTACGTTGTGGAATAGTGCTAAATTTGCTTTGCAATTCAAATTCGTACAAAGGAACGTTTATGTTACCGGAGTCGAAGGATTTCCGCTAACTATGTAACTGAGAAGCGATTTAATTAACTAGAACATTCGTTACTACTACCTAAGTATGAAAAGTTATAAAAATTAGAATTAAAATGTACGTAATTGTAAGAAAATATGGTTATACTTTTTTGCTTTTTACCTGAACAAAAAATCAGAAGGGAAAGTCGATTTGATGGTGAAAGGCATAGGAAGGAGAAATATCCTAGACAACAATTTGTAATTGCGGATATCTATAAGCAGCGGTCGCTTTACCTTTTCATCGAATGCGGGTGGCCACTAGTTTGCCACCTTAAGATATTAAAAAAAATATCACTGTGTAATATTGCAT